CCCAACAACAAAACCCTACAACCCCGCAAGCTCTGCTGGCAGAGCCTGTCAATTTGTAACCGGGGTATACTCTGTCACCCTTACGTGTTTATCCTTTTCAGTTGTTTAAATACGCAAACAGATGTTTGGAGGACATAAAATTCATACCCCTTGTGATATTAAATAATTGATATCTTAATATTAAATAACTGGTGAAATCAAGCGTGTAAAAAGTTAGGAACTTCCCAATGAAAGTTTTTTTTCTCTGTGTTAGTTCAGCAGATCGGCCAGCTGTATCTCAAGAAATCTGAAAGGTCTGCTGGTGACACAGATTTCTGTCCCGTCTTAATCACAACTTTTTTCCTCTCTACCCCGAGCTAGATGAGCCAACTTCTTCTGTGACCTCTCGGGAGCTGGCTTTTACAGCGGCCAGGGATGGCTTGGTACCGTCTTATTCCCCAGCTTCCTGAGAAGTGTCACGGTTGATGAGCGAACAAAGGTGATACTGGTGTTCTTTCAAGCGTTCCCATGGGCAGCAGAGAACCGGACGCGCAGTGGATCAGCAGGATTTACTGAGGGTCTCCACAACGTTGGCAAGGGGTTGGAATCAAAAGCGATGCTTGCTTGTGTGTGGCACCTCCTAACTTTGCAGCTGTTGTGGTCTGGGTGTGGAAACCAAATCGTATGGCCCAGAGCGCAACTGCAACTGGGCTTGTCTCACGCCTTTCCTTTTGAGTAGATCGTGGACCAGGCTGGTGACAGAGTTGGCAGCGGGCAGGTGATGGGAAGCTTGCTGCCTCAGAGGGTTGTTGTACAGAGAGATTTAGGGCCACAAAAATGATCAGAGGGCTGGAACACCTCTGCTATGAGGAAAGGCTGAAAGAGCTGGGGTTGTTCAGCCTGGAGAAGAGAAGGCCGCGGGGAGACCTTATTGCAGCCTTTCAGTACTTAAAGGGTGCTTATAAGAAAGATGGGGACAGACTTTTTAGCCAGGCCAACAGCGATAGGACAAGGGGTAATGGTTTTAAACTAAAAGAGGGTAGATTCAGACTAGGTATAAGGAAGAAATTTTTTTACAATGAGGGTGGTGAAACACTGGAAGGGGTTGCCCAGAGAGGTGGTAGATGCCCCATCCTTGGAAACATTCAAGGCCAGGCTGGATGGGGCTCTGAGCAACCTGATCTGGTTGTAGGTGTCCCTGCCCATTGCAGGGGGTTGGACTGGATGGCCTTTAAAGGTCCCTTCCATCCCAGAGCATTCTCTGATCCTTGCAGCCTTCCTGTGCGAAGACAGCAGATGGCAGCATATCCCCTTCAGCATCTCCAAGAACTCGGGGCTGGAGGCTTTTCGGTCCTGCTGTTTTGCCTCTGTGCTGAATGTGATGGTCTCTTTTGGGCCCCTTCCCGAGGTCTGCATCACAAAGACTTTTCCGATTGTTTGTTGTATTTGTTTGGTAACTTAGTGCTCCAAACAGTCATTGGAAAGCTGTACGGGCTCAGCTTCTTCAGTTCTTGGTTTCCTATCACTTTCAGCTGCTGATTAGCGAAGACCTGGGCTATTCCTTAATTCCACTGTCACGAAGTTAACCCTTTCTGCTGACAGAGCAAAATTGTTACGCTCCACCGATGTTAACGGCCAAAAGCTTCAATCAAGTGCCTGATGTCAGACACTTAAATCCATGCATGGGGCTCACTGTTTCTGGCACTATTCTCAGAAAGAAAATTTTCTTCATGTCAACAAATAAAAATTTTGCAGCTGTCTGCCAACTATTAAAAAAGAAAACAAGCTTTTTTTTTTTTTTTTTTTTTAAGTGGAGAACTATCAAGTATAGGGGCTTTATTGCAGGAGTTGAGATGAACTTGTTGCAGAATGTGTGGAATCTTGCTACAGACCTCCGAGGTTTAATACGGGGCAGCACACACCAGACCAGACAATAGTAATTTAAAGGTACTCTGTTGTATAACTTGTGCTTAAAGCTCGACGTGATCTCTACCGTAGTAGCTACCTGCTTCCCTTCAAAAGAAAGGGGTATCTGTCACCCTACTGACCTGTTCTCCAGAAACACAACTCTGAGCCCCATTTCTCTGGCAAAATGCGTTGTGGAAGAGACAAAAATGAGTTTCTACAGTGCTCTGTGCTTGCTTCAATGGCATATACAAGACATAAAGTCACCAAATGTTGGGTTTTTTTTCCCTTAAGAACTTGTTTATAGGTGACTTCTTGCTCATGGCACTATTGTTTCTTCCAGGGTTGAGATGCAGAAGATGAGAGTGGTGAGGCCATCTGCTGATGTAGCCAGGTACACAATGATCTTCCACAAACGAGACCACGGTAACGAAGAGAACAGAGAGAGGTGAGTCAAGAACAACATTCCACCTTGCATTGTCTTGGCATGTGGCCAGGAGCCAGGCACCTGGGGGCCAAGTTCCTTGCTCTAGGCCAAAGAGGCGTTTTGTGGTACCCAGAGGCTCTGGGGGACACCCCTGGGACACCCCTGTTCACAGCTGGCGGCTGTTGTTCTGTACATGAGATCTGCTGAGAATCAACTGGGCGATGTTCCGTAGAAACTTCGAGTTACAGGTACGTGGATATGATGTGAGCATATGAGTTCAGAGATTAAACCAAAGGACTCCTTCCCCCGTGTCTGATTGTCCGTGCCAAGGACAGGAAAAGCAGGACTTTACGTTCCCAGTAGATACAGAACGGCTGTACTCTCTGTAGTAGGGGGAAGAGCTCAAAACTCCTCTCCTATGCACGTCAACGAAGATTTTCTCCTTTTTGTCCTCAGGATGAAGCTTCTACGTCAGGTATCCAGAACGTGGAAAACAGATGGGCTGAACTCCTGTTCATATAAACTGCTCTCAGTGGAACATAACCCTTTATACGTCAACATCACGGTGGATTTCAGCACGGAGCCGAAGATCTCGTAAGGGCAAACACTACACAGGTCACAGGCAACGGCGACAGATCGCGTTTGTGGCTGCTGTTACAGTAGATGACTCCCAGCCCTCTGCTTGAAGGAGTACTTCAGTAGCACAGAAGAAAGTTTTTCTTCGCAGCATCTAATTTGATCGGTTGAGAATTTCCTTTTGTGAGGACTGGAGCTACGGACTGACCTGAGGGACAGGTCCTCCTGTTCTTCTGTGCACTTCCTGCTGGGACATCTGCAAAAGTGTCCTCGTTTGGGCTGGTCCAGGGGAAGGACTTGAACTTCGGTCTCCGGAAAAGAACATTTTATTCTTGCAAACTTCTTATTTGTTGTAGGGGGAAGGTGGCCTTGCACTGTCAACGCTGCCAGGACTTCAAAAGGAACAGGCCAGGCTTTTTTCATTAAAAGCACAACAATTCTTCACCAACTACAAACTTGCTGAGAAAAGCTAATTTTTTCCAGCCTGAGGAAAAACTGCTTATGTGTGAGGGAAGGGCAGTAATGATAATAGGTGAGGAGATGTTAAAAATCTCTCAATAAATACACTCCATTGAATTCAAAAGGCTTCTCTTGTCCTTCACGAGCTCAGCTCACCCTGCCGTGGGACTGCTGAAGCGTCCTCTGGCAAAACAAAAGCCTCGGTTCTACAGCAGGCCGTGTGTTATTCTGGAGAGATCGGGAAGGAAAGGCAGTGGCCAGCTATGTCAGATGGAAAGAAATTGCTGTCCGTGTTTGTTTTTTTTAATGCTTTGGGCTGTGCTGTTAGCAGAGTGCATATTTGTATGCGTACCCCGGCCATTATTATTTGGGATTCTTGTTTTAGAAGCCTGGTGGAAGTCTGTGGTTAACTGACTGTTGCAGTACGCTGTGGGATTTCTGCTAAAATCTTGATCACAGCGCTTTCCTTTCTGCATTATACCGAACTCCTTACGCCTGCTCGTTGGATCTGCAGCCCTAGCAGGTAGATATGAAGCCGGGGGTGGGAGAGTGTCTTTTAGGACACAATATATTAAGAATTACAAGACAAAAAGCAACTTCTGCTTGCTATAATATTGAAGAACGGTTCTCTAGCTGGTTGACACATTATTCCAACTCTAGAGAAGGCTGAAGCTTTAAGTTCTTAGGTGTATTGGGATAGATGCAGCTTTTCAGTGAACAGGGTATTTCAGTATCTACAAGTAACAAGCAAAAATACGTTGTGTCATGCTTGCAAAATAATTGGATGTGGTAGGCAGAGCTACCGCCTGACTTTACGGATGAAGAAAGATTTACAGAAAGGGGAGTCAGAGGTGTCAGTCTCACAGCCAGGTACGTACAAAGGCGTTCCTGCCAAGGTCACAGCTCCGCTGCTGGCATGTTTGACTTTCAGTTTTTTCCTCTACTGTTTCATTTCTTGGAAGCATTTTATGTTGAAGACAGATCAGCCTTGAAAAATAATAATTGAGCAACAGTGGAAATACTAGGCTTTTTGCCCTACTTGGAGCAGGAGGTCAGACTAGGTGACAGCCTCAGGTCCCATTCAGCCTGAATTACTTACAGCTACAATAGAAACATTTAAACACTGATGGATCAGGCCAGAAAAAAACAAGGACTTAAGCTCTGGTTTTGTCTAGTAATCAGGGCAACTTTCTCCTTTATTACACTCATTAAATATTCTAGAAGAGCTTAACCCAAACACATAATTTATTTTACTCAAATTCACAAAAGATATATTTACAGAACTGTAACCGGCTTCAACGCTTTCTCAAAATACAGCATTTCAGAATGGCTTGCGCCCCAATTAACACTAAGTATGAAGCAGGACAGAGCTATACACCTATGGAGCAAACTTCCAGAAAACTTGGGCCAGCTTGCTGCCAGAGAGACCTCGGAGGTGGGTCTGGCTCAGGAGCTGGTTTTACAGTGCTTTGACAATTATTGGCTATCATATCCTATTCCTGAAGCCTTTTCTGCCAAGTCTCAAACAGTCAGAAGAAAACTGAAATGCATGAAAGGCAAAAGGCTCAGGTGGTGCAGGCTCCACACAGCAACGGGAGGCAGAGGCTGAATGCCCATCTGCGTGCTGCCATGCTGAGCCCAAACTCTGCTTTTGTTTTCGTTCGCTTAAGAAAATGGGGGAACATATCCAATGTCCACAGTGATGTTGGTATACAGAGGATGCTTTGTCCTGGAAAGGAGCTTGAACTCTAATGAATTCATTCCATCATCCTTCCATGTTTTTTTGGTGTTGTGTCGGGAAGTGGGCCTGAAGAAGGAAAAATACCTGCAGTTAGACAGAAGAACAAAGGTGATGTTTGCAGCTGAAGCTGCAGAACAAACAGACATCCAGAGGGGGCAAGGGCTTAGCAGATGGAAGCTGCTAGCACAAAAGCCCCAAGAAAATTCTTCTCACATAATACAGGCTAGAGAGAGAAGGCATTTTGCAAGACTAAACCGATTGGAGTAAGTTCATATTGCGTATTCTAAACGAGGAGGGCAATTTGGACTGGAACTGAGTCAGACAGGGAAACCAGTGAGGTGGCAACTCCAGTCTGCAGAAAACCCAAGAAACTGGCAGCAGCTTAGAGTGACCTGGGAGCGCAACACAGTGGGTGCAGCAATGGTGTACGCAGGCTGCTCTAGGTAGGTTTAAAGACAGGGTTGTTACGGAAACCTGAGTTTTGAGATGATAGAGGGAAGTCTGCGCTGTTGGGATGAGAAGCCTCCACCACACTTGACCCAACACCCTTCTCCAGCTCTTTTATGTAAAACTGGGTCTTTGCTCAGGTCTCCCATAGCACTTTCCTCATGTCTTCAAACGAGAATGCTGCTTTCTGCTGTTTTAGTGGCACGCTGTAAATCCACACAGATTGAAGGGCAAGTTTTTATGACAGGGAAGTTGTAACAAAGTGCCTCTTCAACCTGAACTCTCCCTATTTACAAGACGGGCAGTATTTTTTTTTTAAAGTTTTATTCCCTGAATAATTCGATGCTTAAGTCTGATATGTGTTAGCTTCTGAGCTAGCACCTGTCCTTAACAATAGGAAAAAAGTAGGAAACCAGGAGAAACCCTTCAAATGCAGAGAGAGGAGCAGAATGAGTCAGTTGAAACTGACTGGGAGCCTTCTTTAAATTAATGCTTCACATTAAAGCAGAAAAACAAGCAGTGGCATTAGGTATCCTTACTGCCTGTTCTGAGGAAGATGATGGTAACAAGGCAGAGAGTAGCCTCCTAACTGCCCCCTGCCCCCAAGCAGTTACCTTCTCCAAGGCTCTCCTGTCTCTGCCTCTTCATTGTAGTCCATCACTTTGTAGCGTCCAAGGTGAGGTGATGTCCGGACTATTTTCATTCCTGCTAACTGAATCCTTGAAAACAACAAACAAAATGTTTGCTTAGGCATAAAGATGCCATTTCTAGGCTTAGTTATAGGCAAGTTCAAAGTCAGGGATGGTTTTTCAGTGTTAATGCAACCAAAGCAAAACGGAGAAACTGAAGGGAGCGAGTTTAACACCACAGCGCCACACGGTCTTTAGCAGGTTCTAACCAGGCTTGGGCTAGAAAGCTGCCAGCTGCAGTGCGCTCCGACAGGGTACAAAGAGGATTATAGCAAGCAGGGAATGAACAACAGCATACGGAGCATTATTTTCACTTCCTCGTACGAGCAGAGCTCTTAGTGCCTCGAGGGCCATCACCTAAACTTAAAAAAACCCCACCCAAACTTGCAGTTTCTGAAAGGAAGCCAGTCCAGAGTTTCAGATCCAGATTAAGCCTCTCTCTGTTCTTTGAGAAGTGCCGTTCATTCAGATGGCCTGATCAGAGGACCGGCTTCATAAAAGATTAGTGATAAATGCAGGCACGGGCCAAATAAATGTGAGCTGCTCAGCTGCAGGACAGTTAGGTAAGAACAAAGTGAACTAAAAGCTCAGAATTCCGGAACAGAGCTCCTAAAAAGAGCATTTTGGGTGACTTTCAAGCAACCCATTGCTGATGGCATCTATGGTGGTTTACCAACAAAAAGTGCCTGTCATAGCGCTAGGGCTAGCAACCTGCGTTATCCCAGGGCAGCTCTTGCACAGAGAAAATTCCTGTGAATGTAAGAATGAGTGTTTGCTCAGTTGAGGTTATCTAACCGGCGTGTTTGCAACACGGGATTCCCTTCCAGTGAGATCTGGTACAGCAGCACGCTGCACTGAAGCA